CGCATACCCACCTTGTAGCCTGCACGCAGGGACTCCTCTCTGAATGCATCCCAGGCGTCTGATCAGTCAGGTTTCCCTGGGTACACTTTTGTCCTCTCTTATTTTCCTCCCCTTTTTCTTTTTTGGCCAGAAAATAGGCAGCCAGGGGTTGGACGTCCAAGTGTTAGGGGCACATGGCTGCTCCATGCGTGTGACTCACCTTCCTCCATGTGCTTGGCAAGGGTTGCATGGGTAGGATGTACAGCATGTAGGATCTGTTATGTTTAAGCTGTGAGAAAGTGTTGTACTTACCCCTGCTTGAGAAGTCCCAGCCCTACCCCAGAGGATGTAATGTCCTTGTAATTACTGTGTTAGCAATTGCTAATTTTCTAGCTGAACAACAATGTTGCTGTACCTCAGGGAACGTATCTGTCTGCGTCAAGTTAACGTTTTGGGGTCTCACCTATTTAAGAAGTATTTGCAGGTAATGCAAATAGTCAAAATGGAAAATAATAGATGTATTTTCATTTGTGTTTTTTACTGCACTAATGACCTAAGACCAGCTCTGTAGGGCCAGCCAGGAACACTTTTAGCTGTGACTTGGGGTAACTGCTTCGGAAAACATTGAAGCATGGCCCTGTTCTTTCCATTGTGTGTCTTTCCAGGTGTAAGATCCTTGATGGGCCAGAGGTGGTATCCAGATATGATACGTTTAAGCGGCCTTGAAGGACGTAGATTTGCTTAATCTGTTTTTAAAACCATCTGTGTTTGGCTCATGGCATCTTGTGGAATAATAATGTACAACAGGAAAAAGTACTACTTTGGTATTAAAATTCTCGCCTGGCAATCTCACACATGGGCCTGGCATTTCAAGCCTGTTAATCGTTTTCTAAACCTTCACGTGGTCAGCCTCCATCCACCTTTTTCTGTTGCAGCTTCAAAGTCTGTTCAGCTTGTTCTGGCCTGGAAACTCTTCCGGACTCCCAGCTGGTGTTGCTCTTTGTGCCTTTTATAGTTCTCTGCTTCTTTCTTTCCGAGTCATCCCTGACATTCAGACTTTCTGACCCTGATGCACCAGGCTGGTGTTTTCCTAAATCTGTCTGCAGAGACATTCTTGAGGAGCAGCTCATTTAGAGTCAGCCGTTTGTGTTAGATACGGCTTGTGCTCCGTTTATCAGCAGGGAAATTCATTTGCCATTTTATCACTGAGTAAATCACCATTGTATCTGTTTGTTTGGAAAGAGTTAGAAAATATCACTTATACCAGAAAATAAATGTCTAATAGACATAAGTTTAAATAACTGTCCTCTGGAAACTTGCATGAAAGGTTAAAATGGAAGCTGTTTAATAGCTTTATTTACTCTAAGCACTACCGGCTGGAAGTAGTGAACTTCTAGATGTGATATAAAGATAACATTTAGCAGAGTACTATCGAATTTGATAAGAGCTTGTTTCCTCAGTGCCAAAGCTTAAGGATGCTGATGTCCCAGATTAGTAGACTTCTGATTTACAGGTCGTGGGAGAGTGATGGCTGGGGTACTGAGGGCACTGACAGGACCTAGATGAGGAGGGGGCCTCCTTAGCTGCAGGTCACTGCCCCGCTCTTTCAGAAGAGCTTTCCTAGCCTATTTCATCTGAAAGTAAAAAGGCCTAAAGCAATTTCAGTCTATTTCTTGCTATAAAATAATCAGCTGCTATATCTTAGGTGAGGAACTGGGGGAACTTCTTGCATCAATCTGGACTTTGAAAAATCACATTTAGCTGGGCTCACGCATATGCCCCTGGTAAGCTCTGTCATGCCGTACTCTTCACACGCAGGTTGCAATAAGATGAAGCACGGCTCTGCCGCCTCCGCTTTCTACAAGGGTTGCTTCCCTCCTCCTGTGGCTGCTTCAAAGCTTCTCCTTGCCTGCCGGATGGGGACCCTCCTCCTCTGTCCATCTGTTTAAGCCACTTCCGAGGGGGAAGCTGCAGTTGGATGGTATAAATAAAGGGGAATAATGTAATTAATGCTAGTCAGAATGGTTTTGTAGGAAATCATTCCTACCAAATATGCTGATGACAAACATTGAACGTTTGGTAAATGGAGGCAGCTATATGAGGTGTCACAGGAGGAGTGGGAATTCGGGCACTGATTAAAAAAGCAGCGCTATACACTATCAGCGTAGTTTACTTCCCAGGACTAAGATCTTGGCTGACTGACATCTCAGAGAAATTTGCTAAGGAGAACACTATCAAATGAAAATATTCAGAGTGGGGATGCGCAGTCAGTTTGGTAAATACCCAAGCGTAATATCCTTATCCTTAGTCAATGCTCTAAAATCCGTGGTGAAAAAAAATGTGCAGCTGACTCAGCAGGCAAAAGGGCAGCTGGTGGCTCACTCTGGGGCCTGCTGCACAGGTCCGTCCCTCTGAGGGAAGAGGAAGGCAGCCTGCCTGCCGCCTGCGTGGAGACACATGCCTTTGGTGTACCGCTGTGGCAGGGGGGTCATGGCAGCCTGATACGTGCAAGGAAGCACTTGCTGGGGCTGTGGAGTTGTGATGGGTTCTGGTGTCCTGCAGCAAGCCTCAGCTAGCCCACATGCCTCCCTGGCAGGGAAGAGAGATGGGGCCTGGGGGCTTGGCTAATTCAGAGCATCAGTGTTAGTACTGCCTTTGGGTTGCAAGCAGTGCTGCCTACAAACTTAGGGGTTGCTATCAACAAAGAAAAATAGCCAGTGTGTTTGTCTTCTGTGCTGCCTGCTGCAGGAGCTTTGGCAGCTGAAGGGCAGCTGGGTTTGTATTGTCTCCCATTCTCTTCTACGTTTGGGGCAGGAGACTGTGGCTGTTCAAGAACATGCGTTGGGTTCTCCTTGATATTACAAAGCCAGCACATAAATATTGTTTCATATGGAGATTAATTAGTTGTTTTTCAAACCTTACTTTAATTGCAAAGATCAAAAACTGTAATAAGATAAGCCATTTTGCTCCTAGCAGCTGCCATGGTTGGCAGTGGTGTGTTCCTTTTAATACATGCTTCTTTGGAAGGTGAGCAGCTCTTACAGTACAGCTGGCTGATTGTGCACAGTGATTCAGCACAGCATATTTCAGTACAGAGCAAAGGGATTTTATCTTAGAAAGCGCCATATTCCTTACGAACTGGTCAGAATGTGCATGTTGAAAAGGCTGCCGAATGCCACTCTGCCCAGAGATTTATGAGTTAACGTGGGCATTTCCCAAGTGCCAGCCAGCCCCTACCCACCGTGTTACAAAACCCCATGCAGCTTGGCCCCAGCTCCAGCTGCAGTCACACTGCTAAAGCAAACGCCCAGCTCATGCACCCACAGGTGGCTCAGCAAAAAAGCAGAGGCTCTTTGTGAGCGCAGCCAACATCCGTCACCCACAGCTCAGCTGCTGTTCCTGTAAGTGAAGCCTGGTAGCTGAGTTTGTAAAATTGTACCTTTGACATCCATTCCTTTCCCTATTCTAGTCCTCTCCACTTTGTGTTAGAGAGCTAAAGCTCTACATTTCTAGAAGACTGACAAGGCTCACAAGATTTCAAAAAATGGAAATAGGGGGTTTATTCATAATGCTGAGTACACTTCAGGCTCGTCAAAGTCTATGCAACAGGCCTGCTAAGCGACCTGTGAGTTAACAGCAACCCAGATCACTCCAAAACCTTCACTCATTAATTGCCAAGTCCAGCTGTCCCCCTCCACAGCACACTGGGCCAAATCCCTGCCATTTGACCAGACTGAACTCAGCTCTTTATGTTGTAGTAGCTTGGCTAGCGAGATGCTGCTTGAGACTCCTGGATTATTTTCCCCCTGTAGCACTGGCTGTGTGCCAGCCCTTACGCCCCCTGCCCGTGGGGCTGCACTGTCTCGGTGCTCTTCTCCCTGAGGAGCAGCACCCTGCAGTGAGCACACACGTGAGTGCGGTGGCAGCGCAGGGCAGCTGAAAAGAGGCAGAGGGGAGCGCTGACGCCTGGTTCTGCAGAAAGTGGGAGCCTCCCATCCTCCCCTTCCCAGTCATCCTGATGTTATTTTTGTCAAAAGGGATACACTGCATTAAGCTGTTTCTGGTTCAGTGAAGGGACATTTACTATCCAGAGGCAGACTATATTTGATTTTTTTTTTCAAATGCTTCCAGTTAACTCTCCTGATTTACTGCATGTGCTATTATTCTGTCATTCTTTTACAACATGCATCTTTTTTTCTTTGAGAAGGACAAAACCAGTCACCATGAGCAGTAGATAACTGTGATCAAGCCAACCTAAGGTGCACAGCATGTGCATTATGTAGCAGGGCTGACAGTGTTACAGTGTGGCCCATAACCATGGACAGTGTGTTTTGTACATCTTTTTCCCCCTCTGGTCTCCTAGATTCCTCTTTCCATTGTCTTCCGAGAATTTATATATATATATATATATATATATTTTATTTTTTTTTCTTTCCTAGATTAGGCCCTTTATGAGACATGGTGTCTCACAGACAACTAGTGGCCCTGAGCACAGGCACTTGAACTCTCTGGGAGACTTACTATAAGCAGCTTAAATGCTAAGTTTAACCACTCTAAAGGTTTAAAGCTCTTACCATCCTAGGCCAGCACTGAGGCCTCAGAATACTTTCTGCTCTGAAGTGTGCCTCTAAACATGAGCACTCACACTTCTGTTTCAAGGTTGTCCATAGCAGGGCTGCACTGGCAGCGCATGGGCATCCTTCACCAACAAGGTACCACTGCTGAGCCCTGTTTGCTGGCTGAGGCAAACTCACCATTATGAGATTGCAGTACATCAAAATTACTTTCTTTTTTTTTTCATGTTGGTAAATGCACTGTGCCCAAGTGATTTGGAACAAATGCTACTGAGAGCAAAGTCAGTTGAAGCACCTGCCAGACTACTGACAGCTCTTTTTCATGTTTCTCATGAGGTGCAAGCAGTAGTCAATGCTTGTTTGTCTCAGCAGCAATTGTGCCAAAGCTGCAGCTACACTGGCTGCTTTTCTGTGAGAATCTGGCAGTTTGATGTTCTCTGTCCACAGCTCATCAGCGATGGCAGTGTGGTGTATGCAGAAGCCCTCTGGGACCATGTCACGATGGATGATCAAGAGCTGGGATTCAAGGCTGGTGATGTCATTGAAGTAATGGATGCTACCAACAAGGAATGGTGGTGGGGAAGGATTCTGGACAGCGAAGGCTGGTTTCCAGCCAGCTTTGTACGGGTAAGAGCTTGATTTTTTTCCATGTCTCTCCATTACTGCCAGGTGTTGTTTTTTTTTTTTTTTTTTTTTTTTTTTTTTTTTTTCCCCCCCAGGTTTTATGTTCTGTAGTGAATGCTGAGAACTTCTACTGCTAGGATAGTTGGTTCAACATGTGCTTGTTACCATTCCTCTATGCATTGGCCTTTTACATTGAACTCTTGAGGATGGGCTGCCACCAGTGTGGAGAATTCCCTCTTTGCATCAGTAAATCAGAGTAAGGACAGTTTAGTTGTAGGTTCTGGAGCTAAGGTGAGCTGTACCAGCTGAGCAACTGCCCTGCATGGTGGTTTGCAGCCTGGGCTCCTGCTTACCCAGATGTGTGTTGGCTGCTTTGCAACCAAGCACCCAGAGTCACCCTCAGGAGTAAGCAAGATGTACTTCCTAGCAGAATCCCAGAAGCAACTGACAGAGGTCTTCACTGTAGGCTCTGTTTCAGACAGTAGGGATGAGCATGGCACCAAATTTAGTCCAGTGCCATACACCACATCCAAACATCTGTGACAACCTGACTCACACACACCTTCTCCTAGCTGTGGAGTTTTAAAAACATCAGGCAGCTGGGCTACAACACAGCAGTGTGTTTCAGGCACTTAAAATAGAGAAGAAAAAAAACACATAAAATGGTGTCTTGGAGGTGGTGATGTCAATTACTAGAGGGTGAATATGAATCACTTGATATTGACCAATTTTGGGGCCAAGGCGCTCTCCCTGGTGCCAGAAACAAAGACCATATAGAAATAGCTATATGGAACAGGTAGACAGGCCCAGCTGTGTACAGCAGAGGTTAGATCCATTTCCAACAGAGCATTCTGAAACACGTGAATTCTCTATGCAGGTTGGGGGCTGGGGGGCAAGAGTCTGGGTAACTTCTGTGCACTCTTTTCTTTCTGTGAGGAAAAAGGCTTTTTTCATTTCTTTGGGCTGTGACTGTTGGTACGGATGCCTGACTGCTTTCACCACATAAGCACAGTACTGCAGAGGTGATTTGGTGCCTAAGGACAGAGAGATTCTTAGATATTCAGCTTCTTATCTGGGTCACTTTAGATCACAAATGACCCCAAACCAGGTGAAGCATGAAAGGAGATTATCTGGTGTCTGTAGAAAAAGTCCTTGGTGAAGCAGAGCAGGTTGTGCTACAGAAGTTGTGAAATGCATTGTTATAGAGCTTGCAAGAAACAGTCTCAGCTGGTAACTGTTACAAACAGTATATGTTTTTTGCAAGAAAGATTACTAGGACCAACTTCTCAGCACTGGTGGAGATGGAGCTACTATTTTCACAGCCAAAACACAGGCTTTATTTTCATTCACATTACTGACAAATTGTCCTGCTGGCAATTTCAGGGGAAAGCAGACTACTGCTAGCCATTAGGGATGAAGAATAACAAGTTCTTTTAGCAGAGTAATTGCAACACTTATTCAAGCATCCAACTGAAGATTTCCTACTAATTATCTCTGGGTCTCAAGCTTACTGCTGGGAAGGGCAGAATGGTCTTGGGTACTTGGACAGAACGGGACTTGGGTAAACCTGCAGGTCTCTCAGTTACTCCACACAAGTTTCAGGCCAAGGTCTGAGTTTAAGACCAGCCAATGCTGTTTTACTCACAGCGAAGGAAAACCAGGATTGCACATCTTGAGGGTTTCACCAGCTGTAAAGAGTAAATGCAATCTATGCCTCTGCTGGCAAGGGATGGGTATGCATTATTTTTTATACATAGAGATACATGTATATCAAGAGAAAAACAATCCTGCCTAGAAGTGACTACATTAAAAGTTTAAAGCAGGCCTGTATCATTGTATTAAAACTGCTTATGTTTATGCATGTTCCTACCTCAGAGTTTTTCATTTCTTTTTTGTGCTGGGATTGATGACTTGTATATAAAATATTCCAATGGGTGCTCTGGGATCTATTAAATATGAAAATACAATACTAATATGTGAAATAAAGCTCCCAAGTGAAATGCACCAACAATTTCTTGTCCTTAGTGAAGGTACTTTGGTATTGCTGACAGTATATGTAGTGACTGTAGTACAGCATGTCTACAAAATGCTGCTGCTTGTCTCTGCTCATGCTATGCTGCCATCTCATGGGCACTGTGAAGGAGCCACGAGTTACACACACAGCCCTGTAATGTAATGCAGCTTTTCATTACATTATGTGCCCGCTGGCATCCGCATTTGCTTTTATATTAAAAATACATTATCTCTAAATAACCTTGGGGAAGCAGGTACTTCTGAGGGCTATCTGGTATTTATAGTATGGGAATAATAATATAACTGATATCAAAAAAAAAGGCAAATAGTTCCTGCTTTTCCCCTCTCTCCCGAAAAGTCCCCTCACAAATACCTAAGCAGAATTCACTTTGATAAAACACTTCCTGTCCTGATTGTGTACGTGTTCTCCCTCAAGGGCTTCATATCATTCCTGTGACTTCTGTCCGAGATATGCCTGCTTAAAACCACCCATATCACATATTAACAGTTAATTGGCTTGAAATTACCATCCCCAAACTGTCAAAACCTTTCCTTCATGGGCTATGTGTTTACACATTACATACCATGGGAAAATACATTTACAGGCAGCATGTACAGAGTAGCCCTCTTCCCTCCTTATCCTAGCTCAGTCTTTGTCTGCCATTCTGTCAACCCTCCCAAACTTCCTTTCTTTGGAAGACTTGTATTTCTTACTACAAACAGTGAATGTCTTGTGTGTGGTACAGCTCCGAGTGAACCAGGATGAACCCATGGAAGATTACCCTGTAAAGGTAGAGGGTGGCAAAGAAGACGACTCCAGCAGTGGTACCCGCCGCTTCGGGATGGGGCAGACCACCAAAGATCAAATGAGGACCAACGTTATCAATGAGATCTTAAGCACAGAGAGAGACTACATCAAGCATCTGAAGGACATTTGTGAGGTAACGGAGTAAGGGGGAAGCAAAAGTAAGAACATCCCTAATGGAAACCAGAGGCTGTCCTATTCTTGTGCAGACATATGGTTCCCAAGTGGGTAACTTTCCTCCTCTGAAAATGAGATGGTTTTGCCATCAGAGCCTGTCCTGCTACATGATATCGCATGCTCAGAAAACAGAAGACAATTCATTACAGCAATATCCCCAATGCCTCTGAATTTGGAGCACCCAGTTATGCTCTGATTAAATGGAATTAATTGTATTTCCCATGCCAGAGAAAAGTAAACGTCTAGCATTGCTGTCCTCTTTAATACATGTTCTGAGGTAATATAATCAGCAACTCCAACCTTCGGGCAAGTTATGCTCAGATTGAAACAACTGGGGGATATTCAGCCTTTCACTTCCAAAGATGCTGAGTATTGTGACACCCTTTCCAGAAGTGACATGCTGTCAAATACACTGGGGTAAATTAAGGTAATTGATAAAAGAGTAGTGCAGAAACACAGATTTTCACTAAAATGACACAAAAAATGTAGTGTCCTCCAGGAGAGCCAGCTGGGGCAAAGCAGCAACACTTAACCAAGCACCTTTCCTTCATGAGTCCAGAATTCTCCCATGTCTTTGAATAAGTGATCAATTTGGTAACATGAGCAGCCACACCAGATCCTCAACTGAATTTAGGTGTCAGTGGATCAGTGCAGGGGTCAGAACACCCTGTAGCCTGCAGACAGACAAAAATGTTTTCTACAGGAGAGAAGGCAGCTCTGGGTGTGGGTTACTGCTTCATTTATGGCAGTGACATGACTGTGGGTTGATTTCTATTTCTGCCGTAATTTGAGTGATATTTGAAGAAATAACAGCTAAGGGATGGATGCACTTGTGAAGGAAGGGGGTACAACTGACAACCTGTACAACTGACTGCAGTCCTAGGGTTTTCTGATGATATCCAAAGGCCTCTGAGCAAGTGCCCAGCAAGCTTTCCAATGTGGTTTCCTCCTAGGGTTACATTAAACAGTGCCGCAAAAGAGCTGACATGTTTACAGAGGAACAGCTGAAGACAATCTTTGGGAATATTGAAGACATCTACAGATGCCAGAAGAAATTTGTTAAAGCACTGGAGAAGAAATTCAACAAAGACCACCCACATTTAAGTGAGGTTGGCTCCTGCTTCTTGGAATATGTAAGTAAATTTTACTTAAGGGGAAAGAGGTGGCTGAGCATGGGTTAGGCCAGAGGATTTGAAAGTTGATCTGAGAACTGAAGCTCTGTTAATACAACAAAAAACAGCCCATCAAACAAACCTACCCCAGCCAGCTAGAAGAGCTCTTGTGGCTGCAGCAAGAACATTTCCAAAGTGCCTCAGCTCCTGAGCACTGTATTGCCTGCCAGACCATGCTACTTCAGGCAGAGGTGTAAATCCCAAGTTGGGCCTGAGTTTACAGCTATGTATTTTCAGGTTTGTGCAGGATCAGCAGGCAGTTGCTGAGCCGGTCATTAAAAACATTCGGCTGAGCACAGGCCAGAATAGACAGAAATGTCTCAGGCTCTCAGATAAGCTGCACGAGCCCCAGCTTTAGGTCTCCTGGCTTCAAAGTGTTAGGGGAGCATACAAATTATCAAACAGCCCCAATGTCATACAGGTTTGGAGCCAGGCCATCGCCCAAAGGAACACGGACAGTAAATCCCTTTAATTTCCTTTGCAGCAAACAGAGTTTCAGATCTACTCTGAATACTGCAACAACCACCCTAACGCCTGCATGGAGCTGTCCCGCCTCACCAAAGTTAACAAGTACGTCTACTTCTTTGAAGCCTGCCGCCTGCTACAGAAGATGATTGACATCTCTCTGGATGGGTTTCTGCTGACGCCAGTGCAGAAAATCTGCAAATATCCACTGCAACTGGCTGAACTGCTCAAATACACCAACCCTCAACACAGGTAGGTCAGCATGGTGGGGAGGGGAGGAGTAAGACTGGTCTCACGGAAATGGACTAATGAGGAATTTTGTATTGAGAGCAGTTTACTAAGAGCAGCCAGTACCACAATTCTTCTGTGTTACCTTGCAGATACCAAAAAGAAAAGAGAAAACAAAACAAACAAAAAACAGAAATTTTCAGTCAAATACTTAAATTTCCATTACAGTAGCACTGGGTTTCCTGTCTGTTAGAGACCTGAAGTTGCAAAGTCCACCTTTTATCATGGTGCTTTCCTATTTATATTCAGCCTTTTTATCTGTGGTACCTGCACATACAGACTTCGTAGTTGTTTCCTGTCACAATGGTATTGAATATTTTGGCACGAGAAGCACTGATTGAATATAGCCCAACATGTCTATGAACCTACACCAGGGCTTGTCGAGGCTGAAAGTTAGTCATGAATTTTGCTTGGTGCTTTCCCTGTGGGAAGTCACGACCTACAGCAATCAAATCAATCCTTGCCTGCAAATCCATAGCTCCATTTCAGGGTGAAGGCACTGCTCTTGGCTCAATTAACAGTGTGACTTAGTAAAGCATCTGAAATAATTAGCTACAGAAATAAAGCACGAAAACCTGTATTAAAGTATTGATATCGGCCCCTTGTGACAACTTAATTTTACCACCCTGATTTACAGCAATGGTATTTCTCAGACTTGTTTTCCACGTCTTATTAAATCATAAGCATGTTGTTCTGGAATTCTCTCTAAACAGAAAGCTCCTTAATGGAGTACACAGATGTTAGAAAATTGCATTAGAGATAAGTGTGCTGAACTGCTCCTTCTCAGCTACTCTAACTCAAAAGAAGTTGCTGGTGGCAGCAGATGGTGTGTGGTGAGGGTGGATCAGCTTCTGTCCTACCCTTCCGGATTAACTAGCAGCTCCTATTTGAAACCAAGCCACATCTAAACCATCTTACCTCCGTGTGATAGAATTGTTCCCTGTAAGAAAACTGTGGCATTATGAATATATTGTATTAATGTGGGGAAAAAGCAATGCTTAGAAAGCTGTGGAAAATTTTCCAGCAACTAGCGTTTACACTTCTGTGACTGGATTTCATTACTTGCCTCCTTCTCTTTCACAAGTCAGGCCTGGATTTGTTACAAGACTATATAGTCTGTGCCTTAAAAGCAGCACACTTCTGAAAAGCTGCCCACAGCCACATGTACCTAATACATTCAATATAAAGTTGCTGGGGTGTAGGGCAGCAAGTAGCACTGATGTTTTCTGCTCTCCAGCCCTACAGCATGCTAGGTTGCACTCCTTTGGAGCATAGATGCAATAAATTTAATTTAAATAAAATAAATTTTAATTAAAATTAAAAAGTCCTTTTGTTATGACACAACTCTGCTCTACCACAGGGATTATAAAGACGTCGAAGCTGCCTTAAATGCCATGAAGAACGTTGCTCAGCTCATCAATGAGAGAAAGCGGCGGCTAGAGAACATTGACAAAATTGCTCAGTGGCAAAGTTCCATAGAAGACTGGGAGGTAAGACAGACTTTCCCCATGCAGAGAATGGATTGTGTTTACTGTCTTCCATTCTCCCTCATTCCCCCCATCTGCCTATAGGAAGAACTTCGTAACAGTTCTGTTGTTCTGTGGGTTTTTGTGTGTGTGCTTTTTAAAATGATGCGAACTTTTAGTACAACCGAGAAGGTCTAGCACAACCCAGCTAGACCAGCTGCCTTTTTGCCTGTTCCCTGGGATTTTTTTTTCCTTTTTTTCCTTCCAGAATAAAATTGGAATGTAGGCTGGTGAAATCCTATTGTTCTCCTCTTGTTCCCCATTCTACTGAGTGATTTAGAATTGGTCAAAATGGGCAGAATTACCCCTTAATGTGCTTAGTAAGGCACATCATTCTTGTAGAAAGGCAAGCTCTGATATAGCTAAAATGGAAGCAAAATTTCACTGTAGATTCAACATAAAAAAACTAGCTAAAGAAAAAAAAACACAAAGCTACTCATTTTCTGAACCTCAGAGTCAGTAAAACCACTCCCTCTCCCACCAAAGGAAGTCAGGCTATATTCTAAGCTACCTCCTTACATGATTCCTTTAATGTCAGGGATGTACCAGCTGCCCTAAGCAGACTCCCTAGAAAAGGAAAAAATTCATTTAACACACTATTGTTCTATTCCAATTCAGTTCCCATTCCCTGGGAACTGAAGGGCACAGCATCCTCCATGATGCAACAAGGCTTCTTCTCTATCACAGAGGCTCCCTCTCATTCCTGGAAGAGTGTTTCACCAGCAGGGCTTCAGGCTACACAACCACTCTGAGGTTCTCCTGTGAGACTATGGGCTTATTTCTTCTCTCTTGTTTTTGGATGGCACAGACCAGACTTCTTTTACTGCTCTTACTTCTCAGGGTGAAGATGTGCTAGTCAAAAGCTCAGAACTCATCTATTCTGGGGAACTAGCCAAAATCTCCCATCCTCAAGCCAAGAGCCAACAGAGGATGTTCTTCCTCTTCGATCACCAGCTTGTCTGCTGCAAGAAGGTAAACTTGAGTAGATAAATCCAAGTTCTGTTACAATGCTGAAAAATGAATCATCTCCCTCAGTTCATTTCCAGTTGTTCTCTACCTGTCTGTTTCTGTAATACTTAATTCTGTTTGCAGTGTATATGCTTCTTGCACAGATTTAGGTACACTCAGGGCAGTCTTTTTTCTGGCATCCTGGTGTTCTGTACACCTGACCAGAGCAATAAGCCAACTGCTAGCCAAAATCTTGTAGCAAGAGAGCTGTAGGAGCACACTGAACTGCTTCTAGGATTAGTGTGTGGGTTTATTTTATGCAACTCGAGTATCAGCACTGACGCTCTCATTCTTTTAAATCTGTTCTTTTTTCAACTGCACTTCCACATGAGATTTGTATCCCATTCAGAAGCTTTCATGTAGAAGAAAAATTTGTATGACTGTGTGACCTTTCTTACAGGACCTTCTGCGTCGGGACATCTTGTACTATAAAAGTCGGATCAACATGGATGATATGGAAATCCTGGATGTAGAAGATGGAAAGGACAAGGACTTCAGTATCAGTGTGAAAAATGCATTTAAATTACACTGCCGCAACACTGAGGAAGTCCACTTATTTTGTGCAAAAAAGCCCGAGCAGAAACAGCGCTGGCTGAAGGCCTTTGAGAATGAAAGGAGACAGGTTCAGCTCGACCAGGAAACAGGTATGCAGAAAGCAATGCTGTAACACAGGGGTATGTTTTTTATTTTATTTTTTTGACAGGAAGCCAAAGCATGCTCTAGGCCAGCTCTGGGCTGCTGACTAGAATGCACTGCATGAATTTGTGCAATTTGAAATACAAACCACAATGCTCAGATACTGCAGGAAGTCCTCTGAGACCTTGATGTCTTTAATGAGTTCAGGCAGGGCTGACAAAATAGGCAATGTATTACATAGAGCATCAATTATTGTGCAAGATATCATGAGCGCCTGACGTGGCAGCATCTGTGCAAAACACATTCAGTCAAAAGATCGCATTGTGAGAGAGGGTTTTCATTTTTTTGTCCAAATAGTTCAGATGTGAGATCTGAGCCACAAAAGGTCTGGACTGGCTTTGTCAGCTGGTGGGGAGGGGTGGGGGCACTGGTAGGCAGTAAGCATTGCCTGAGAGGTAAGGACCAGGCCGGGGGGGAGCAGTATGTGCCCCAGCCAGCTCTGGGAGTAATTTTAGATTGTGACCTCCCACCTCAGGCACTTTCCAGCTTCACTGTTTCTTTTAATGTCTATGCAAGTGTGCTCCCATGAAATACAACTGGATGACCTGCTGCTGACGGTCTCTCTTTTATTCTCCAGGTTTTTCAATAACGGAGGTGCAGAAAAAGCAAGCAATGCTGAATGCCAGCAAGCAGCACCACACCGGGAAGCCTAAAGGTGAGTCATTCCTGAACTTATAAATGCTGCTAGAACTGCAGGCTCGGGAGTGGTAGTGGTGTTTATGGACTACAGTACTAGTGCTTAAGCCACCACCTCTGAGAGCATTGCCTTTTTTGTTTAAGCCTTAAGTTGGTGAGATACCTCTTCCCATGTTAAAGTGCTTCAGTTTGCGTTCTCATGGTCAGGTAAAGGTAGAGAGGGTTGTCAAACAGCTAGATAACGAGCAACTTAGACAAGTGATCATTCCCAGCTTGGAGCTCTATATAGAAAACTAAATAATTACCACCAAAGATGAAGAACAGTAAAAATTAAGCTGTCTTACCCTTAACAGCAGAATCCGTCAGTGAGACTGAAGGCCATGTTCAGATGAACATACAGCATCCAAGAGCTGCCTAATATAAAATCAGCTGACTTTGTAATCCCTCTGCAGTTTCTTTCAGAGTTTCCCTGACATTTAATTTTCCTTGCTGCAGATCACAATTGCTTGTTCTTTCTAATAAATGGCAAACATTCTTTGTCATTCATACCAGCATTGTTCTGCTAGATTTCTTCTAGGCATATCTTTTCCAGCTAGGACTCCAGAGCTAAACACTGCAAAGAAGTCCTGGTACCTCTAAGCCCTAAGACTGTATTAGATCCAGCTGATAAGTACTTCTCTTTATATGGCCACTACACTTCTCTCCTATTTGACTTGAACTAAGTATTCATGGCATTAAGCTTTGAAACAGCATCATAAAGAAAGGAGCACTTCATCCGGACACAGAAAAAAATGCTTTTTTTTTAAACTGTGTTTACAGAGCTCAGATGTGGGTCATCTGGTTCAGTAGAACATTTTTCTTGCTAAAACTTCATTGATGTGTAGCAAAAGATGCTGGTGAAATGAAGTTTTAACGGTTGGTGTTAGTGACTTACCACTATCACGTGACCTCTCTGAATAAACCCATCTGGGACTATTTTCAATGAGTGGTGTTAACAAACCCTTGAGTAGGCCAGATGGTGAACTCCAGTGTAACACTGTGCAGTACAGTTCCTGGCTGATTCAGACAGCTGGAGTCAGGAAATTATTCCAGACTACAGGAGACCTGCTCTGCACCTGATCACCGAGTGCTGAACCTGAACCCACAGCTAAGCACAAGCCCTGTTCTAAGGCTAGCTCACAGAGTCACCATAGATGCCAGGCTCTCCAAACAGTATGACATTCTCTTTGTGAAGAGACAAGATGAAATTTTGTAATGATTCCTAAGATGCAGAGGGTCGTAAAGGCTACTGCAGCGCCGACTTGTCCTGCCTGTGGCAAATGCATTAAAGCTTGCTATTTTGGCAGAATCCCATGAGCAGATGGCATGCTCATTAACAGTGCTGTTAAAATAAATAAATAAATAAAAACTAAGTGGCCAGAGGAGTGTGAATGCAAGCAACAGAACAGGCAGTTCCTGTGCCTGCAGCACTATCACCTAAGGCTTCCTGCCACCCTTTTTTGTGATGCCTCCATCCCCCTTTATCTCCAGAAGAAGAGATGTCATTTGCTTTCCTTTAGGCCACAGAGAGTCAACCAATTCCTCGTGGTGGCAACAGCCAGCAGTAGGATCCCAGCTGAGTCCCCAGTAAGAAAGCTTGGCTACACTTCAAAACAAGCCAGAACTAAGATATGGCCACAAACAGAGTTTACAGCCATTTAGCTGCATTGTACCCTTGACAGAACACTGTCAGGGTATGCCTGACAGGGTATGCTCTAGGGCTTCCACAGCACCAACCCTAATCCTAAAAGGCAGTGCTGAAATAAGGGGTAAGCTGAGGGAAACCACATTTGTTCCCCTGCAGCTTTAACAGGGATGGGGCAGGGTGTATGGAAAGAACTGTGCTCAAGTAACACGCTTCACTTATTTCCTTGCCATCAGCTGTCACCAGGCCATACTACGACTTCCTGATGCGTCAGAAGCATCCCACCTTGCCTACTACACTCCCTCAGCAGCAAGTCTTCATGCTGGCAGAGCCCAAGCGCAAGCCCTCGAACTTCTGGCAGAACATCAGCAGGCTGACACCCTTCCGGAAATAAGGACAGCCCCATGTTTGTGCCTGAACCCCTTCTGAGAAAGCACTTTATCCATCAGTCCTAGGAGGTGGAGCCCAGGTTCTTCCAATCCTTTGTTTACAGAGGATGGCACATGTGCTCCTGCCTTCTCTATTTATTTTGCAGACCAACTGACCTGGCTCCGAGGTGAGACACTGCGTGTGTGCTTGCACACGTGCATTTGTGCATCGAGCCAGCCTTGCACAGCACCCGCGACAAACTTCCAGGAAGAGATCACAGAATGGAACCTGATGTGTTTCATCTGGAAAGATTTTGCCTGTCAGCTGTACACTGCATCACTCCTTTCTGCTGTGAACACTACTGCTGCCTGGCAGCGGTCAGAGAGGGGATGGCAGCTGTTAAACCTACTGGCTCCTCGTCCACTGACATGCTCAGAACAACAGCTCAGTGTCGCTGACATACATTTTCCAGGGAAGAAAAATCCCTTCCATTCTCTGCCCATTCCCCATTCCCCACCTTTCTGATCAAGGACATGATCTTCCTACACACTTCTAATTCAGTTAGCCTTTGCTGGCACTCAGACAAGACAACAGTGAGTATTACACTGTGACCCTTTTCTCTTTCCTTTAATTCAACAACACTGATGAACAACATAGTTCATTAAATGGTGCCAATCAACCTGCAGCATGAGTAAAGGTCAAGAATCTCTCTAGAGGGTTTGTTATTATAAGTTAGAGAAAAATGTGCCTAAATTAATACCATCAATTCCTTAGACTATCTTTTATCATTCTGCCATATTTCCTGGCCAATGAAAATGCTCACTGTTTGTAATGTGTTTATTTATGGTATAAACCAGAACTGTGTATTTTGTAAGTCTGTAATTGTTCTTGTCAGATGTTGTTAACTTTATGCCTGTTTTGTCTGTTTTTATTTTTTAAATAACAAAAGGTCAATATTTGCAAACCTAGCTCCCAGAAGTCAGTCTGCAGTTTGACACTGACAAACTAAAACCACGATAGTTATGCAAACTTCTACAGACCCTCAATTCAAGGGGTATTATTACAGGGTTTTGACACCTTCAAAAAACAAAGCAAAATCAAACCCAAGGCTAATTGCAAAAGGCCAAGACTTAGCACTAAAAGCCTCACTTTAGGTACCCAGTTTTCAAACTGTGGCCAAGAAAAAATAAATTTAAACCTTGGTTAGCAAAAGGAAAGATTTGCCTTACCATAGTGAGAGTTAGAAGCCATACTGACTGAATTTCTTAGCTTAGGAGACATTGGAAGGAAGACACCCCCATGTTCCAACACGATGCTATTTGAGCGAGCACTAACTGCCTGCAGAGCTCAGAAGTCCAGTGTTTGTTAATGCTGTAGCTGACCAAAGTCTGGTCATCCAGGGATATCTGCATTCAGTAGCATGTACAAAGTCATTCTTGCACTATATCTTCTCCCCAGACCAGGGGCTATATAATTTCATAAAGAAACTTGTAAAAGTAAAGCTCAGCCTGTGTTTGTGTCTGACATGTCTTATCTGTGTAAACTTGTTTCTCTTCAAAATAATTGTGGAGATTTTCCTCTTGCAACTTAACAAGTGACTGCTAATCAGTGGAGAAGCACTTGCAGGCTTCCCTCAGTGAAGCCATCTTTTGGATGGCAGGCTGGTGGAAGTGAGATACAGCACCAGAGAGGTACTGGTCACTCAAAACACTGCTCAAGGTGAGCAAGTCATTGGCTGCACCAGCAGCTGAGTCCCAACTGCCTGCTAGTTACTTAAAGGGAAAAAAGTCAAGCAAACATGAAAAAAGCTGCAGGGGGTGCTGAAGCCTCCTCTGAGCAACAGGGAATTAAAGAGGAACAGCAAGATCAGTGAATTAAGAAACAGTCCTGAGAGAAACCAGCAATTTCTCCTGGACCTGGCACAGCCTGTGCCACACCTGCCACTGTTCCTGGGAAAACGCACAGCCCATGCTCCTAGCCAAGGCAGAGCCCAATGTGTCATCACCACTCAATACAGTCCTCTAGAGAATGGCAACAGGAACCCCAAATTGTCAAAAAAAATTATCTCTGGTGGCATGCAGCAGTCAGGAAACCAAGCCACTGGGACGCTTGCAGGAATGGCCTTTGAACACTGAACAACCAGGCACACATCACTAAAACATGGAAGGGAAACAAAAATCAGCTCGCTATTATGTGCTGCAGCTGCATTACCAGCCTCGCAGTGCTCTTCCCACAGCAATGCCTCTAGCTCGTTGAACCCATGCAGCCCACGAGCCCTGGCTGGGCTTCTCCAGCAGCAGCAGCCAACAGGACCGGCTGCCAGCTGCACTGTGCCACCTGAGATAAGCAGCAGAAGTTTTGTTCACTTGAGGGGAAGAGGCATCAAGACCTCAATGGGGGAAAAAATCAAAACCAAAAAAAACCAATTCTGTCAGAAAGCACTAAGGTAAGGCCCCCCCCCCTCCCCCACTGCTTCATCTTGCCCATCAGCATAATTTACAGCACCATGTCCTAGCCATACACAGTCTGACTGCTTTGCGTGCCTCAAGCAGTGCACTGTTTGGGCCCTCCACCTCCTACACCCAATCTAAACACTAGTTCAGGTGCCAGCTGGCCACAGCTCACCCGCTGATAAACGCTGTAGGCTCCAGGCATGAAGACCAGCCTCCAGCACTGCCCCTCTGGTAGCTCAGAAGCACTACCGAGCTGACCCCCCACACCCCCGGCCCTCAGGGATGTCACCTGCACACCCCAGACCCAGTGTTAGCACAGCACCAGCTCACAGTTACCCGCCAGCAGCCTAAGCCTTTGCACAGGCACGCTTCCTTTTTGGGGGGCAGGCACCCATCACTCCCTGACTCACCAGCGTAAGCTTTATTCCCCAGAAGTGCTGAGCAGAGCAATACACCATTCAGATTTCACATCATCCTGCATACTAAATGATTACCCTTGCTGCATTGCAACAACCAGAACAGAGTCAGCCTTACAGAAAGCATCAGTAACAGAAAGCAATCATTTTGTTTGTGTTTACCCTAAGTGTGTGCACCCCTCCTTTCATTATCCATGTGTCTGTTTTGATTGGCCAGGAAGAGAAAGTGTTGACACAGAAGGGATCAATTCTCTGAGCCTATGAGCACTGTAGTATGGGGGGGGGATGCTGCATTGACCTAGACTAACCCAGGCCAGAAGAGGTGTTGGGATTTTACTTATCACAAGTCCCCCCCCAACAACATACATGTGTGCACACACCCTCAGAATAAGACTTACTGTGAAGCTGCATCAGGTCACGCGCAGTCTTGTCACGCTGCTATCTGACTGTGTTCCAAGGATGGTGATTCCCCAAAAACTGTGTCCCTGTCCAGCACGTCACCATCCACAGTCTGCAAAAGGTTATCACACCTCTTTGAAGTTCTCTTGTTGCAACTTCCGATCTGTTTTTAATTTGTATTTTGCTTTATATAGACACTCAGCTTTAAGTCTACACTGAAGTTACTCCAGTACAAATCCTGATCTATTCTACTCAATGAAAGTGGGATGAGACTGGCACAGAAACCAGTACCCTGATTTTCTGCAGCTTTTTGTTGCAATTAAAAAAAATTTAAAAAACCCCTCCCCACAGTGAACATACATAAGAGCTGACTACTATTATCTCTGTATCAGTACGCTGAACTGTAAATCTGCATTGAGTTAAGTTAGCAGGTTACTTACCATCTCTTCCAGAAGTTATTTCATATATGATTAATTCACACAAATGATTTATATTGAGAAACTTTATAGAAATTTTTGTTAAGTGCCAAAACAGACTTCTCTGGCCAAACAGTATCCCAATAGAAGAAAAGCTCTTTACTTCTGGTAGAGGAAAACGCGTCCTCTACTTGACTGTTCATCAGTAAATATTCTTATTAAGTGTCTTCGGATGGGATCCTAGCCTTGTAAGAAACACTTGGAGCTAGGATCTGATTCCCTATGCAAGACTGAAATCAGGTATAAAAGTTGATTGCACTGAAAGAGTGGAAACCTTGTAACATAGCAGGTGGAGTTACAGCATTACTAAACAGGTAAGAATCAAACTCAGTTTGCTCAATGTAACCACACACCCACATCAAGGTAACAGAGTGTACATCTGAACAAGATTTCATCAAGAAATGACATCCTTTAATTTCTACCCAGCACCACTTCCTGCCTCAGAAACCACAAAACCCAACCAACCCCTGTATCAGATCGTGCACGTATGACCTCCACTGATTTTTAAGTGATTAGGCACTCAGAAATCATCTCCTCTCCTAAATAAAGAAATGGTAAAATGTACATATGCTATAAAGTGGTAACAGACTAACCAGCACTATTTCCCTCCTTTACATCTTTCATCTGGATTTTAAACGGCATTATTCAGCATTTGTACTGTTAGTTAAAATTATCAGGGAGAATGTGTATGTAGGATAGAAAGCCTGTATGTGTGCACATTAAATGATGACCTTGTGGGTCTTCCTAAACTCATCATAAGGGTTTTTCTGGCATATGAGCAACAGGTCAAGTGCAACTTTCGTCAAGCTTTCAGAGCTTACCAGACAGAACAATCTCAGACGCACAAGAGAAGTCCATGTAAAGCACAACGAAGCAGAGACACAAAACTTCATTACCCACCTCTCCTCCTCTCAAAAGTGAGCCTTCTACCTGACCAGAAGTAAGGATTTTCATGAAAAGAACAAACAAAATCAAACAAACAAAAAGCTAACACCACTTAAAGCGCCTACTGTGAGTTTGCACAGCAACCACTCAATTCATGACTTCAGGGTAGAACCTAACTGCTAAAAAAATACTTCTGCATTTAGGTACAAGAAGAGGACAAGATCTGATCCAAGTGTGGTTTCGTGTTTTCATTTGTTTCTGGCAGTCTGCCCCCTCCCCTCCTGTAGCTATGTGTTTAGAAAATTCTTGTGAAAAACAGCCACATTTCCTATTGAGTAAAATCTGCCTAGATTTCACTCAGACAAGACACAGACTTTTGTGAACCAGTCACAAGAATGATTTGCTGAAATTATCAATCAAAGAGAACCAGTGGCTGCTAAATAATCTAACTTTTGCTCTGGGAAAAGAAAAAAAAGTAATCTCTATATTATTACTCTGGAATAACCGAGTCAGAAAACGTGGATGGATACACTGGAAAATTGCTTATGCTTCAAGTCTTGATAGCATCGAGACCAGTATAAGCCATCTTTGAACCTAATCTAAATATTGAAAAGATCAGTGCCCAGAGCTAAATATTCCCGTGAAGAAACCTTTAAGATCTTCCCCATTTAACCCTTTACCTGAAGAGCTGTGGGGTGCAGGTTGCTGAAGAGTCCTGCTTGTGTTTGGCCTCATCCATCACCTCACCACAGGTAATTCCAGCTGCCCAGGATACTGCTCTGTGAAGCCAGCACTTCACAGCCTGCCACCCAGAAGCTTACAATGCAGAAACCGCCTGCAGCTGGGTGTCTGAACAGCTTCCTGCAAATATCCACCAGCCAGGCTTCCACATCATTAAATCAGAACAACTGAGAATTGAAGCATTTACGAGTAACAGATATCCCAAAGGAATCCTGGCTTCAGACTGAAACCGCCACATTTCTTAGGATGCCAGAATGACAGAAATTAGCTTTTCTTAATGAAAAGGTCTTTCATATTTTGCAATATAAATCAAAATATCAGGCTGTGCTCCTCCAGATTTACTGTAGCAGAAGAATATCTTTGTGTAGCAGCAGAATCAATTATATCCACACAGCAGTGATTTTTAAATTATCAGTGTTTTGAAAAAGTATCATACCACTTGCTACACAGACTGCTTAAGAACTTTGTCAGGATCTGAGACATGGTACAGCTTCCAGCAAGTCCTCATTTCTCATTTTATTGCTATTACTGAAACGGTCTTCAAGTTTAGCCATCTGCCTGCTAACGAGGGGTATGGCACTTGCTGTTACCACAGCAAATACGGTACTGCGGTAACTCCAAAAGCCTGAGGACTGGAGCTACCCAGACTTCATTCAGCTGCTGGAGCCTCAGCCTGCACCTGTGGCTACTCAAGTTTTCTGCTCAAGCTAACAGGACCTGCTGCTGCTATTGATGAGTGGCAGCACCACATCAGTTTGGTAAGAGCTCCACTACAATGTCCTGTACAGCAGCCTACCAGTAGAAAATCCCTGCCCCCAGAGCTCCCAGCCTAAGCAAAGCTGTAGGATCAGGTCTTCAGGTAAGTAAAGGGTTAAAAAAAGTAAAAACTCTGGTAATGGACAGAAGTAAACTGAACAAAATTGAAGTGTTTCCAGCTCATTTGAAGCTACTGAAGGTGTAGTTTTGTTCATTTACTTTGACAGTGCAGAGGAGGGAATTAATCTACGAAGCAGTGGAGACAAATCAATGCAGCTCATTTCAGAACTACACTAGTGCAAAAAGACACTCAAATAGGACACAGCAGCAGCATCTTTCTGCTCAGTGATGCACGGAGATCAGGGTGGGGTAGGAGGATGGCCCCCTGTGTGCTCAAGAACAGCAGCAACCTGGATTGCTTTCATAGTCACAGCTGCGTATTTCAGGCTCATAAGAGGCCAAAGCACTGTCCTTCTGGACCATGCAGCAATCGCCGCTTGCCCTGCCTTGGGATTAACACCTCACACCACGTTTCATTTCTCACCATGTCTCCCATCGTTCCTTAACAGACTACATTATTAAATCCCATGGCTTTGGCAATGCTGGTGGTTAACAGTGAAACTGTAGGCTGTTTGTTCTTACTGCGTACCTTTGTCATTTTCCTCCCTGCAACTACTCCACTCTTCTCTGCATAGTGAGCTTCTCTTTTGCACAACTTTGCTACCAAAGCAGCTCCCTGTTTTACAGCCCGTGCAAATGAAATACCTGTGATATGTAACCCAGACTTGTATACCTTTGTGTGTGACTGTTTACATATACATTTGTGAGATGGGAAATAAACGAGCTATCAACTTTATTCCTGACTAATTCTATAATCTTCCCATAACACATTAACCACTGCGTATACGATAAAAGCCTTTATATCTACCAAAGCAAATGTGGCTGTAACTATAGTTTCATCTTTCCACAGCTGCTGCTTCCTTTTTCTTTGAAGCTACAGCCTGCCTGAACATCCATTACCTAGCCCCAGTAAGTTGTTTTTTTTTGGCTTCTTGTTACCAAAATCATACCATCAAGAAAAACCTTAGCTCCTACTTCAGGCACATTAGCATTCTTGCATTTAAAGAAGATACAGCACTTCATCTCGACCTTATAGTTTCATATTTCTTACAATAAGGCTGGTAAAGCAGAACTGTGGAAAGATGTGTTCCCCTCCCTCATTCTGAAGCACCAATTTGTCCAGTACCTTTATCAAAACAAACAAACAAAAAACAAACAACAAGCTATTGTGAAGCACTACACAATAGTGCTTCACCCCCAAAATGAAGATTTAACTGTATTAATTTAAGCTCACCATTAGGCTGCTTGGTGCCAGGTATTTTCCCTGTCAGGCTAGCACTTGGAATATCTTTAAGTCCAGCTACATCTCCGTCTGTGGCTTACTCATCCATGTGGGGATCAGCAGCCTCCACAACGCAGGCATGCGATCCGTCCGTGACACCGACAAAATTGCTTCCTGTAGCTACCAAAGACCTCTTATTGTCGTACATTTCTTCCCCCCCTTGTCATCACATGGAACCCCTTATATTCTATTCTAGGATGGATAGTTAACAGCCTAACTGGGTTCTAAAATAAAATCCACAGAGCAACTAACTCTTCCTGCACAAGACAGACATTGTATGTATGTAATGCAAAACTGCTGTCCTGCACACCAGCACTGATCAGTATGCGGCTCCAGTGAGTCATGGAATTTAAAATGTAATAGCATAAAAAGCCAACTTTCCTTCTGTCCTTAGTTATAGGATTAATTATAAGGACAGAAAAGTTACAGGAAAACTTGAAGTTCAGAAGTCCTACCTTTATTTCTGACGATCTGAGCAGTTGCTTTTTCTGGAAGGGGCTTTGGCTATTATCGTATGTTTAAAATTGCCTCTGCAACAAGGGCAGTCCTTGTCAGTAATGTATCTTCATAGTGAATATTTAACAAGCAAGTAAGGAGGAGAGCAATACGCATCAGAACGTCATTATGAAAGGAAACTGGTAGGGGAAAAAAAGACAACCAGGACTGACCTACTATTTTGGCAGTCCCACAGACACATTTGAATCACAACAAAAAGGCCATGGAGAACACCTTCCCGTCCAACCCACCCCAACTGCAAAGTTTGGTATCATGTCCTTATGAGCATTAGATACAGTATGAAGTAGTTCTCCACCACTGACCACCATAAGAACAGCTATCCCAGGGCCCTTCTAACCCAGGAATGATCACCACTGTTGAAGAGTATTCCCCTGTTTATATCCTCCCCGATGCCAGCAGCAGCTCCAATGACCTGAAAAACCATCTTTGTGCAAAAAAGTGATCCCAGGATAACTGACCTGCAAGTAACTTGAGGTAAAACAAACTCAAATTTATACTCAGCCACAATTTTAGATGCTGAACTACTTGACTACTTGCAAAAATCACCTGTAGAAATAATCTCAAAAAAATCTGAACACTTTCTCAGCAGTTTGATGCAGTTATTAACATGATTCCTTCCTCTTCCACATGCGTTGCTTTTCACAGCAATGTTACTAGGTATGTTATTTTTGGAGACCTATAATAAATAAAAATAGCTGGTTAGTTCAAACATTATAGCTTCCATCTCCCCCCCTCCCCAAAGACTGACACTTCTACTTTAACATAGCGTTGTTTCAATTAACCCATCCTCTAAAGAAAGGGTGATTACCCACACCTTACACCTACTCATTCTTTTGCTTCTGGGGCTACTCCAAATACTGACTTAGAACAACTTGCTGCTCAAGATTTGTCATCTCTGAGACAGCAGTGACTGAGTATGAAGCAAATGTTAAACATTGTGAAATTTTACATCTGTTCCATTTTCTTCTCACTACTCTGTTTTGTTAGTCATCAAGAAATCTGAGAAAACACCTTACTTCCATATTTTACTCTATTTTGATCAATCACCAGATTTCATTAGTTTAAAGAGAGCTTCAATATAACATACTGCTAACCAGCAACAGAATCTTTTCTAAGTGGATCATGTCAAAGGCAGTAAAAAAAACAAAAATCAAGACCCCACAATAAGCAACACAAGTCAATCTTTATTGAAAACTGAAGTATTAATACATAACAATTCTTGTTACAATAAACGTGCTTTTAAGAATTTAAATCTGAGCTCATCTACTCATTGAATTGCATAAAAATAAAAAAAAAGTATGAATTTTCACAATTGAACTGGCTCAGAATGGAATCTCCACTCTTTGTGTTGATGCAATAGTTCAATGCAGGAGTGAGTGATGCCTTAAAACTTATGTTGGAAGACAACATTGACCTAAACTTAAAAAAAAAAAAAAAAAAAAAAAAAAAAAAGTACCAATACAACTGTTCGTAAGACAGTTTTAAAAAAAGTCATAAAAAGGAAACCTGTGTCTATTTCATAACAAACATGGAGAACTATTACTGGGGCCTCTTGTACTTCCATTGCATGCACTCACCTTTCCAAGTCTTAGACATGAGGGCAGCCAATAATAGCATTACAATTTAAAAAAAAACAAAACCAAAAACAAAACAAAAGAACACAACACTAACAAATCCATTCTACTTATAACAAGTCTGTACAGCAGCCAGCTAAAAAAGCTTTCCCAGTTTGCCTGCTAAGTGCCCAAAAGTCACAACAGTTTCAAAAAGTCATGTTTACTTTCTTGATGTTGAAACTTCAGAGCCCATAGATTGTTTAGATTTTATTTTTTAAATCACAAATGGACCCTTACGACCTCTGGAATTAGATGTTTAAGTGTTGTATTCAACATACAAAAGAAAAGGTTTCCTCTTCCCCAGATAAACGCTGTTCCTCTTCCCTCTCTTCCCTCTGCAAAACACACCTTACTTTCTCTCAACATGCCCCCTAAACAGAGGTGCACACAGACTGCTGAAAGAGTCCTCACTACTTCTGAAAGATCTTTATCCTTTGTGAGACTTGATACACAAAACAATTCTAACTTTGCTGCAGTTGTTCCTTTTAATTAGCATTTACCTCATCAAATCTTAGGGTTTCTGCAAGAAGCTTAGAGTTGATATAGTATTAGAAAGCTAACACTTTATAGGAGAAACAACCTTAATGAGCTTAAATCTTTATGTCTTTTGAACAAGTGTTCACAAACATTTCAACATGAGGATTAATCGATTGCTTTTGATCCTCTGCAACTGCTAAGGTCAGCCAGTGACACCTGCTGGAGAAGACCGGACATGGATCATGCCTATTTCCTACCAACTACAGCACAAACCACATCCTGGGCAACTGCAAATTACAATTTCACAACTACAGCATCCATCTGCCCTCTTTCCCCCGAGTTCTAGCTGAAGCATTACTATTTTTCATGTTCCAAACACGGGAGTTTCACATACATGGTATTCACTATTCTCTGGTATGACTCTAAGCCTAGAGTTAAGTGGTGGTATCAGATTGCTGTGCTTACCTATTCAAGCAAAAATATGTTCTAAACCCAAATGAACGGTGTATAATACTGTGCTTAAGCACTGGGGAGTGATTCCAAGCTAACTCTGACCATTTCTTGCTCAGATACCTTAAGAAGCTACTACCCAAGTAGAAGTGAAGCCTGAACACTCCATGAAGAATAGTCAACACTGAGTACCCTGGTATACAACTCTGTACCATGAAATATCCTCAGACAACACTAAGACATTGTGGTACTTACAGGTTTTTTTGTTTGTTTGTTTTTTCCTCCAGTGGATGAAGTGATATGAGGAAGGACTTCAACTACAATAAAGGTGTTTTGTTTTTTTGCATCTATCACTGCATCTAAGCATTTTACTTGCATAGTACACTCAAAAAGAAGCTTTCATCAACAGCATTCCTGTACGTCTCCTAGAAACTTCAAACAGGAGATGGTTACAACAAGCATAGGCAAGATCTAGTAGTAAGCTCTCTGTTCTCCTTCTTATCGTTCGGTTAATAACCACCACACCACTGACTAGGGCTACAAGTTGTAGGTGCCAATTACTAGCCATTTTTATTTTGCTGCTGCTACATTTAAAAGACATTTCATCAGTTATTACTGACATAGGGAATACCTCAGTCTTTAAAAAATACTTTATCTAAATTCAACACCTGAAATTTGAATTAAAAACAAAACAAAACACTATCTTGGACTTCTCTCTGTTATTGCTGCAAGTTATCTTCAGTTCCAGGTTCAAAGTAGTACTTTTTTAATCATATAAAGCTGCCATAAAAGTTTTTTTTTGTTGTTTTTTAAAGAGAAGCTTGATCTGAAATGTCTCTACTGCACTAGCTCTTTTCATTTTCCAAGGAGCTCTAGTGCAAACACATACTGCGTATTTATTAATAAAGGAATTCTAAATAGGGAATGTTATATAAAAAGCAGGAGAGAATGTTTCATAAGACCCTCACTGTGTAAACGCCTATTTAACGTTGTACAGTTTCCCCCGCCACAGTTTTATATCCATGCTTTCTACTATTTGCAACAAAATACCATTAAGATAGTTATATATACACATATTCCCCTCCCATTCCCCCCGCCCAGCCCCCCGCACTGTGCTTTTGGTTAATTCCCATATCAAACTACTGGAGACATGCTCCACCCTCCCAGCAGACTGTAACTGATCAAAACTGGAAGGTGTGGTACCTTTTTTTAAAAAAAGGCAAAGTTTCCCCCTTGTGGATGAATCCCGTAATGCAACTTAGAAAAAAAAGTGCTCAAGTAAGTGAGACTGCCCAAATGTTATGGAATATTATACAGAGACCACTTCCAAGATGACATTTAGGAATCTGAAGTTAGAGCAAATATACAGGATGTTATATTAATTCCTTAGCTATTTATCTAATGCAGCATTCATGAAAAGTTCTCTCCTAGGATTTTCAAAGCTTTAATTTATAGGGTGATGAGACAGGAGACAGCAAAGCTTTGAGCTTGTTCTTTATAGCTTCTCCCCAACATAGCACTGGTTCACACCTCAACTTTGTTAAAATCATGCTAAGACAACAAAAATGTCACACTCTACTAGCTAAACTGAACAAATGGCCTGTGTTAATGTTCACTGTACTCTCTGGCACACCTGACTAATCAAAGCTGCAAACCTACAACACAAATGGAATTGTTAAACAGACTTGACCAAAGCAGTACAGATTCAAATGGGTTGTCTGGGGGTAATTTTCTGCTCCATATAAAAACATATGGAAGTCCCTAAGCTGCTCTAAGTGCTCATGAGTAAGGTTTAAAGTACTTATTTCAACAACATCATTTATGTTAAAGGCATTAGAAATAAGGGGGCTGTCCACTGGCAGTCATTCTTGCAAAATAATCCTAAATTTTATAAAACAAAAGGAAAAAAACTTTTAAAAAATAATGGAGAGTGCTTACTGTAAAAAATAAAGTTACTGAAGGCTCTACCCACCAACGGATTATCTGGTTCACAAGCATCCCACCAGGGCAAAGTACTGGAATGGAAGCATTAAATCAGCACTGATGTTACCCTGATGTACCCGCCAAGTCTGTAGAGGAGCAGAACACCCCAGAAAAAAAATAACTAGATACAGAACTTATAAAAAAAAAAATCATTTCTGAATGGAAATTAACCTACAGGAACGATACAGCCTGATACACCTCTGTGTAAACGCTTAGTAGGGAATAACATTTTATAACCATTTACTGCATAATTTATTGCAGGCAGAATGTCTCCAAAACAAAATCTCATCTTTCCGGAATCATAAGCAGGTTTAAGAAAAACCTTAATTTTATGTGCAACATTCAAATTAAAAAATTTAAAATCTTCCCCATAAGAATTTTGGAATACAAATGGGTTCTAAGGCTAGCCCTTTATCACCACAGCATTTTTTGAGGTACTTTTTAAAAAAATTGAAATTGCAAGAAAGAATATCAGAAATGACTCATTGCAATGAAATTGCTAATCTGCAGTCAGTCTTATTTTACATGCTTCCAAGTGCAATTTAGGAAGTAAAAAAAAAAAAAAAAAAAAACCACTAAGAAAATACATCAAAATGCTGTAACCACTGAATGGCTCCTACTTCAATAACAAATATTTTCAGGAAAAAAAATGAATTATCTGAAACCTCTATATTCTGGTAGCCCTATTACAGCATATCTACAGTCCATACTGCAAGTAGCTAACAAGGAAGTTGTGTTAAAATGATTTGTTCCCCTTTAACATACTCAGGCACACAAGCTTTCCTCGGGACAACATGCAGCTGAACTCCTCCTGTTTGTAGTAAAAAGATCTAGCATTTCTTAAATTTCAGGAAAGCAAGCTGGGTCAACTGCACATAAGTTTTTAACTGACTACAACATTGTTTAGGAAAAACAACACAGATTTCCTGAACTGAGAACTAGAAGAAAGTGTTTTTCTATCAGCCTGTGTGGCAGTCTCACTTTAACACATCTTGCATCATATGAAAGATAGTACTGGATATGTATCTCCCCAGGACATGCAATTTGTTATGCAGGTGATGTCACCTCCTACTATTCCCAATAGCAAGTTTTGCCTCAAGGAAGTTTGCTTTATTTACTGGCACACACAGCATTACCTTTATCATTTCATTCTGATCCTTAAGAACATTTGTATAACACTGAATTCATATAATGAAAGTGAAAAGGTATGAAGTAAACTAATTGTGTGTGGGATTTCTACAGCTTTTCCAGCTTTTATTCTAGTCACTCCAATTTCGTAGTTGAATTTGAAAAGAATATATCACTAAAAAAAAGTGCCCCTTTTAAACTGGCAATTCCATCAACCCCAAAAAGGTTGAAGCACTATCTAATGTATCTTATGGTGGTCTACAAAGAAACTCACTTTCATGATTCTACCTTTTAAGACCCTGCATACATTACAACAGTGCATTAGTGATACAAGTTGTAAAATACTTCTCGGTTCCTTTGGATTTGCATATGATGGTTTTTGCATCAGTCACTGCAGGTAGATTGAGCAAGCTTTGTTTTTGTGTTTTAACATGCATTTGACTAGATATGGATCAGAATAAATTTATACTCCCTTTTTATCATTATAATTAGCTAAAAAATTGCAAGACAGTCCACAAAACAGGATTTGCTTTAAGACTAACTGCTGGAGTTCCAAGATGTAAGATATGCAGCACTGGAAAATCTTCAGTGATCAGGAATTAGTAGTGTTTAGCCAAGTGTTGAAAGCATTCAGAAGAAAAGTCCTGGTTGGAGGCATGAGGGCTTCAGCACCAACTTTTAAACCTCAATTTCTTGATTGCATATCTCCCATCTTCAACCCTACATTAAGAAAAAAAGCAGGAAAGATGCTCAATTATGTGAAATACAATTTGAGTGTGGCAAAACATTCTAGTATTGCATGCACCGCAGTCACCATAAACACACAACACAAAATTAAGTATTACATTAGTGCTACCCCAGTCATTATCCACTAGAATCTATAGGCTTCTAATTTAAGAAGCCATTACATTTATTTTCTCCCATCATCTTTCATTCCAGCTTTCTATTGTCCTTAATAGTTTTGTCTAAGTAGAATGTGTAATATTAAGAAATTGTTTAATGTCCAATTAAATTACCAGCAGTCATTAATTTAGACAAACTCTTACTTTTTATACTCATGTAATAAGACAATCTTGGATTAAACGAGCTTTTGTGTGAAACATTTCAGATCTGCATACTTCTATATAGCATCACAGCAAAGTGAAACACAGACATTCCACTACTAACTCAAAGGGCAGTCACTTCACAGAATCAGCGTTAGGAATTAGAAGGGACCATGACAGATCACCTAGTCCAATCCCCTGCCGGAGCAGGAACACCTGGATCACATCACACAGGAACACATCCAGCTGCTCACCAGGACCCCCAGGTCCCTTTCCCTTTTGCTGCTCTCCAGCAGGGCAGTCCCCAACTTATACTGCTGTCTGGGGTTGTTCTTGCCCAAATGGAGGACTCTACACTTGCCCTCATTATATATCATTACACGTCTCCACACCCAATTCTCCAACTTCTCGAGGTCCCACTGGATGGCAGCATGGCCATAAAACTAAAAAAACAAACCATAACCTAAACTGATTACAAGTGAAAAGTTCAAGTTGGTCTGACAAGTACCTTATTTCAAATTAAGCTGTTGTCTCAAAGAAACAGGAGCAAATATGAGGAACCCCAAAACATTAAGCTTGCTGTCAGTTTGACACACATTACATTCCCCAAATCCCACCTTATAACACGTTTCAAAATTAGCTTCCTTCGCTCAAAACCCATGGTCTAACTTATGGTCTGTACCAGAACTACTCTTTCCGTGGTGACTGCAAGAAGCGTGAGCTGAAGCGTAATGCAAACAGGGTGAGTATATGAAGTTAACTCAAGATTACCTATTTGTTTCAGCAGTCTGTGGGAAAGACTCACCTTCACAGCAAAGCAAAACATTTTTCTTGCTTTACATATTTAGCCAATCCCTAATAAACAACCGAGTCACACATATTGCTCTGTTCAGGGATCACAGTACTGCTGAATTCAGCAATTACCAAAGACCCAAAAATATTAAAATACATGGGCCTAAATGCATTCAGTAAGGCAAACTTGAGGCTCATCGTTTTGTATTCCATGCAGCATGAAAATCTAGGTAGTTTCCTAAGATACAGACCACTAAAGAAGTCCCACTAGCTTTCTCACTTTTGCAGAAAACAGTACTACATAAGCAAAAATTTGTGCATTCTAACTCTATTAAAATAGTGTAGAAGTACCCCAGATTGCTTACCTTCTGAAAAATCTCCCCAAAAGAACTGCAGTGCTGGTACTTATTAGTAAATAAAAATAATAAGGATTAATTGCTTTCAGTCAAAATCAGTAACTTACACTGACTGCCAGGATGATCACCACTGTGGGGGCACATAACTATAGGTTGGTGTGCCTGGAGCCCGGTACGTGGGCATAGTAACTGGATGAGGGGCTACTGGAGTTGGGGAATGAGTTGTCAACAAAGTACCTAGGATGAAGAGAACATTTTTTTTTTTTTTTAGTAAGCACAAAGTACAGGGAAAAAAAAGAAACAAGCAGAATTAATTAAAAAATATAGCTTGCTCATCTTCTGATTTAAAATTATCAGCATCATTTTGCACTCCAGCCCTAATCTTCCTTCAAATATTTAAGCACAACAATCATTTTGATATTTAATCCAATGTAAAGATACTCATTACTCCAAAACAGCTCTAGCAGAAACCCTGCAACATAAGCATATTGTTCACTGGAAAACTTTTTCCCACAGCAGGCTTTACATGCCAAAAGGATACTTGATAGTAGAGATAACTTCACTGAAAAATCAGAATAAATTAGTCGCCGTTTACATTACTACAGAAACAGGTTTTTACAGACTAAGGGAGTTCAGAAACAGTCTGAGATGCCAAGATCTTAACAGCCTTACTCTGTAGTGCTTGTACAAAGAGTAACAAACACCTGGCATAAGCCTGCCCACACGCAAAACTGAAACAAACTCTGAAGTTAATTCAGTTTGTGACACACTGCTTCCCTTGATTTGAGATTCCTCAAATTAAATAAATTTGATAAGGCCAGAATCTGAAAACAAACTCATGGTGCCCATTTTTTAAATGACTGAACTTCATGTCATTTGAGTGAATGTGGACACTTTTTAGTGAGTTGAAAAGCACTGAGTAACAACACCCCCTCAGCGAACAAGCACATAAGAGTCTAGATGTTGGTTAAAAAACATCTTCTCCAAAGCGCTAGAGCTAGAAGAATGTGCCATTAGGCAGTAGACATCCCTAACCATTGCCTATAACAGAGGACCTGTACGTAGTGCAAACACAATGTTATATTTCAACATACAAAGATCAGCAAAGTAAGGGTAGGCTGAGAACATAGTTTGGCTCAACCTTTAGAGGTTGCTGTCTTCTACTAGGTAAAAAGAAATCAGACTCTACACATCAAGACAAGCAAAAGATGTAAGAAGATATGAAATTACATACATATGTAAAGAACAACCCTTTTACCATAATACTAGTATCAGAAATAATAGTAATATCTCCATCCTTAAGAGGTGGTCAAAATATCACTGGACAAGTAAGCAACCTGATCAAGCAGGACCCAGTTTGAAGACACTGGCCCGGATGACCTACAGAAGTCCCTTCTAATCACAGCAATTTGATGGTTCTGTGTAGCATGTCTCTGGCATCATATTTTTGTAATGCAGCAACGTTCTGCCTCAACTGAAGGAGAGCTTCATCAAGAAAACACTAGGGTTTTTAAGTCCACGTACCTGCTGACATTGCCATAGTAGTCCCAGCCACCATCCCCATAGTCACACCATTTCCTCTTGGTGGCGGAATAGGAGCAGGATACATAGTTGCTGGCATGCCATTAGGCTGCACAACTGTGGTGTGGTGAATTACGTGGGGTGGTGCTGCATATAAAGGCTGTGTGTAGTAAGTGCCTTGCTGTTGAGAAAAAAATAAATTGAGCAATTATTGTGTATCTGGTGAGGAAAACAAGTGTTACCCTGTTTCATGAAAGTATCAAAACACAAAAGCTTTAGTCAAAAAAAAATGCAATAGATTTACAGAGTAGAAGCTAGAATACTCATTTCAGTTATTCCAATTCTGTTACACTTGCAAACTTGGTAACATTTAGTCCCTTGTTTTAAGGCATTACTGTAACATTTAATAGCAGAGACCACCAAAGCTCTTCAATCCTGAACACACCTTCTGCAGTAAGGTCTCATTCTTCATTCATTCTCTTTGTTTCACATATTTTCATAAATTAATCTGTAACAGAACTTCTCATTCTTTCACAGCTTTTTATTCAATTTTTTTCAATTAAAGAACCAAAGGTTTTTAACAAATCCAAATACACTAAGCAGACTGGATAAACCCTGTTAGATGCTCATTAATCCCTTTCAACTACTGTGCATGTGCCAAGCCAAACTTCCTCTATAGAAAAAAGCACCTACTTTTCTCCTAATTGCATTTTGTTGAACTGTTATTATTCTACAATTTCTAGTAGTTCAACACTTTGCCTGTTGAAATAGTCCCAACAATTTTCAGTAGTTTTTAAACAGATTTGTTAACTCCTTGAATCGTAACAAGTCTTCCTAAAAAAAAGATGAATGTAAACTTAAGACAATTTTTGACAAAAATGAAGTCATGATGCGGTAGTTACAACTTCTAGCACTCATTTTTAAAACTACTCAATCCAGTCACTCTTCAAGGACTTAACATTTCATCAGAGAGCACAGAGCAAATGTCACATAAGAAGGAACATAAAGGTGGTGTAACCATCACTTAAGACGGAACACTAAATTACTGCATTAAAAATCCTCACTGTTGTCAACTGAAAATTCTCTCCAATCATGAAGGAATAAAATGCAAAGTAAAGGTCACAGTTCAACCAGGCACTACAACGTAAACAAAACACCATCCAAACAGATACAAGACAGATTTTTTTAGGTTTTGTTCATTTACCTGTGCATATGGATTCTGCTGTGGATAGGCACTTCGAACTGGGTACACAGCAGTCTGATAGGGATTCGGTGACGAAGAATATGGCGGGACTGCACCGCTGGTAGGTGAACAAGATACTTTATATGGGGTGCCTGGTGTATAACCTGAAACAAAGGTAAATCTGCATTAAGAATATGAAAAACAAATGTCAGTACACTGCTTGTGAAGTTGAGGGTAACAATTTTCTTACTTTCTGAACTCCTTAACCTTCACGTGAGTATTCAGTAGCCTAGCCTCAATACCCACACACAAGTTATATCTTCTATACACTAGTAGTAGCAGTCTGTTTGTAACACTCAACTGTTTCAACTAAGAATGCAGAGCTACTGTATTTTTGCACCAACTTGCTTTTCAAGTCACTGGATATTGGATAAAAATGTGGATTTGGATTTCAGCAGTAGCATCACTGTTAAACCCTTGGATTCAGCATATCAGACAGCATTCAGACAGGTTCTCAACACACCCCAAATTGTAGTGGCAGATGATAAAGGGTGGCTAACATGCATTTACCTTCCACAGAACATGAAACAGCACCAGAATAACAATATAAAATACCGGAATCTTGTAAAGAGCCCAAGATGGCTCTTCTCTCTGAAAACAGAACTGGCACACAATCTTTAACATCCACTTCAACTAACCTTAACCCGTATTTGCTTTCTGATATTTTCTGAACTGACTAAGATAAGTATGAAAGACCATACCATTACAATATAAACACTAATTCACTGCAGCTGCAAATTAGACTTCAAAGGTACTCGAGTATCTTTAAATCTACTTTTGGTGTATTTTGGATAGAGACATACCCTTAATAATCACTTAAAATTAATTTTATACATTACGAGATGACAGATGCCATCAGAAGGATTTTTTCACTCCTATTAGAAGAGCCCCAGAGTCAGTCTGTGTTGTACACATCTAGAACTGCTCAGTTTTCACAGGGATAAGTAGTAACTGCTGGCTCATACCCTACCTAAAAGCAGGTGGGTTTTCTGTAACTCCTTCAGCCCTCACCAGAGGCACTGTCTCCAGATAACAGTGTCAGGGCCTGATGCAGGATGGAGGATAGCTGTGAAAAGCACCGCTGCTGTCACAATGTGCTGCACATTACTATCCCAAGATTACACCATGATTTAACAGCCAGAGCAGGAATACAAATATGCTAGCAGCAGCAGTCAGCAGTAATGACATTTAGGATAGTAAACAAGAGCCCTGGCCTATTCCAAGAAAGTGCCTGTGCTATGCTGAAAAGATCAGAATCAGGATCGCAAGATCTCAGGTCTCATGCAGGCCCACCCCGCCAGAAAATGCAACATGCACAGAAAAGATTTCTGTTTACTTGGAATTGTACTAACCAGTACTAGGACAACACAAAGAAGAAATACCACTTGCTAATTACAGAAAAAAATGAGACTACCAGAACAGAGAGTAGATCAGCTTTAAAAACTGTGTCTGGAATGTGCTGGCTTCAATACAGAGAACAGATCAGAAGCCACATAGCATACACACAACTCTGGTATTTGCGTCGTGAAAAAAAGAGGCTGCGCAGACAGCACGATCACAGGTGACCTTCATTCTTCTTGCAGAAGTCAAAATACTGGACACAAAGCATCACTACTGAACTACGGCTACATCTAAAGGCAAGCCACTCTCATTCTAAAAACCCTCCAAAACACCTGTACAGGCAGTTTTAACTTTCACTGTTCTTGCAAAGTGGTACAAGGGTATTCCGCCTTCCCACTTCATTTTTTTCTCCCTTTCAGGGACCAGAGATCTTAAAAGTAAAACACATGGTTATACAAATACGCAGAAATTTAAGACAGACACCTGTAAAAAAAAAAAAAAAGTACGCTTTCATGGCACACTCAAATGTTATTGCATGTTGTGAAACTACAAGAGCCTTGATTCTGCAAACAAGCAGTTACGTAAGCAAAATTAAGAAACAAATCCCAGCTGTTAGGACAAAGAACTGAAAGCTGTTTTCTACCTTAATTAGTTCTCCACATTTTGAACTTCAGTTTATCGTTTAAAGAGTAGCTAAGAATTAAAACTATTCTTAGTTCTGAAATAAAAGCTAATTTTCTATTCAACAACAACAATAAAAATTCTAATATTATTAACTCTTTGCACATCTTTATTCCTTTTCCATACAAGTGAAAAATTTCTTAATCTTCCTCTGGTACATAGCACAAGATCTATTCTAACACTAGTCATTGCAAACTAGTCTTACAAAAGAATTGTTTCTAACAGGTCAACAATCCCCCCCAGGAAGATTCAGAATCAGTGATTCAAGAAGTAGCTGTAATTTCTTCCTCCCCTTACAGAATCATAGAATTATCAGGGTTGGAAGAGCCCTCCAAGATAATCTGGCCCAACCACCCCCCTACCACCAATGTCACCACTGACCCCTGTCCCCAAGCACCATGTCCAACCTCTCCTTGAACACCCCCAGGGACGGTGACTCCACCACCTCCCTGGGCAACCCGTCCCAGTGCCTGGCTGCTCTTTCTGAGCAGAAATGTCTCCTCATTTCAACCTGAACCTCCCCTGGCACAACTTGAGGCCATTCCCTGGTCCTATCACTGGTTACCTGTGAGAAGAGGCCGACCCCCAGCTCCCCACAGCTTCCTTTCAGGCAGTTGCAGAGAGCAATGAGGTCTCCCCTGAGCCTCCCCTTCTCTAGACCAAACCCCCCCCAGCTCCCTCAGCCGCTCCTCACAGCACTTGTGTCCCAGGCCCTTCCCCAGCTTTGCAGCCCTGCTCTGGACACGCTGCAGGGCCTCGATGTCCTTCTGGTAGCAAGGGGCCCAGAGCTGAACCCAGTACCTGAGATGCAGCCTCACCAGAGCAGAGCCCAGGGGGACGATCACCTCCCCGGCCCTGCTGGCTGCACTGCTCCTGACACAGCCAGGATGCCGTTGGCCTTCTTGGCTACCTGGGCACACTGCTGGCTTGTGTTCAGGCGAGCATCCGTCAGCACCCCCAGATCCCTTCCATCTGCACAGCTTTCCTGCCACTCTGCCCCAAGCCTGTAGCGGTGCAGTGTGCAAACTTACTGAGGGTGCTCTCAATTCCCTCACCCAAGCCATCAATAAAGACATTAAAGAGGCTGGGCCCCGACACTGACCCCTGGGGAACACCACTGGTGACAGTCACCAGCTGGATTTCACTCTGTTCACCACCACTCTCTGGGCCCAGCCACCCAGCCTGTTTTTAACCCAGCACAGAGTGTGCCTGTCCAAGCCATGGGCTGCCAGCTCCATTCAAAAGCAAAAACTGCAAGAGGATTTGCAAACTGCAACCAGTAATAAGACTGTAACTGCCTCCACTTATGATCAAAAATCACAGCTTATCATCAGCATAGCTATAGGAATCATGATGATGTATACAACGGAGCACAGGAGGCACGAACACATCACTAAATTAATCTCAGCTGTGAAATGGAAATCATACAGACTGGTAATAAAATCCCACACGAGGTTTTGATTCCCATGCTAACAGGTATGTCCCCAATGGGAACTGCTCTCCCCTGAACCCCACTCCTGAAAAATTAAGCAATGCAGTGCACATGCAATCAAGCACCTCCAGATCTGATACTTGCACACAGGCAATACCATATCCAAAGGGCAGATTTTTTTGAATTACTTGAGCTTACAACACCTATCTGCTTTCCTCCCTTACATTTGTGATTGAAGACAAGCCGAAACCAGTTCTGCACTTGCCTTGCCTCTACGCAAAAAAAAAAAAATGAACAGACACACAGATTGTACCAACAAAAATAAGAAGGCTCTGCAGACAGACCTTTCAGATTACTTACTCTCTCTTGCCCTCAGTAATTGCTGCCCCACCCTTGTAAGAAATCAAAACAGCAACTTACAGCCTGCAAAGAGATAAGTTTCTAAGGACTAACATCAGTCCTCCTTGTCATACAGAGTCTGACTGTAAATAAATAGATTCTGTTTTCCTTTGTGGTGTACAACAATCATGTTTTCCTTCACCACAAGGTATCCGGGACTCAAAGGTACAGTTGAGAGCGAGATTAAGATTCAGGACTTACTGGAGTCTCCTGGTAGTTAATGAAATGCCACACATTTCAAACACTGAATTTCAGTACTGCTAGCACACTTCCACAACATAAAATTCACAATGTTAAGTAGCATCCTTTCCTATCCTTGCATAAGTTATGCAAGGGCATTCAGGGACAAACCTGGATATGTGCACACGTTATCTCTGAAAAATTAGCATAACACACACAAGTGAAAGTTCTTGAAGATGGTCCAAATCTTTGTTAACAAAGCAATGTAAGGATTTCCTTAGTATGCAATAATGCCATAGAGAATACCGTTCTATCAAATACGCGCCTCTGGTTTAAGTACAGATTAAACAGCACCCAGTTCCATTTTGTTTCAAGCATTAGCACATCAAAATCATCTTCTATTAGTGACAACAGAACTACATGAAAACAACTTAGATGAGTCCTTTCGTTCTTCCATCTCCCTTCTCCTAGGCTCATAACGTTCCCTTTCTCTTAACTAACAAGCATGCAAGTGTAGTTACCTAAATCATTCCCCAATATCCACTACAGACAAAAGGGTTTTTAACCAGCAGCCAGGATCTTCCAGGCTATCAGTTTCTGCAACACAACTCTAAGATCAGAAAGAATGCAGTAAGCTGAACGTGGAAAGAAATATGATAAAAAAAAAAAAAAAAAAAAAAAACTGTTTTTGGAAATCAACAACAAAACAAACAAACAGAACATTTAACAGACAAGAATCTGGAAAGAAGCAGTAGGATGCAAAGCACACAGAGTCCAGAAGGAAACAGTGAAGGAAAACGCAATGTATTTTGTAAGTATCAACCTGAAATACAGAAACAATGACTAAGAACTCAGCTTTTCCCTTCTCTGAAGGTGAAAGCAGTATGACACGACTTAAAACAAGATTATACTCATTTTAATTTCTCAGGTGATTCCTTATGAGTCACATTTAAAGTACGGTAAAACTTATCTCACTGTGTTATTGTTAGCACCAACAGCATTTCCTTATTCTTGGTTCTAATAACTTCTAAACTTCAGGTTATTTTTTAAACATACACATTACACATACCTGTCTGGAAGGTAGGATTTGCTCCAGGATACATATTAGGGGAATAGGCAGGAGCAGCCGCTGCATAGCCCATTGGGAAGCCAGCTAGAAAAAAGAACATGTTGAAGTTATTTATTTTTTTTATTATTGACTGACTGCCAAGTGTACCTACAACTTTATTCTTCCTGTACATCCTTTAATTAAGATGAGCAAGCAGATGGCCTTCAGTCACACTTCTCAACTAGAATACCATTCTCTTCTCCCAGGCCACCTGAAGATGAATGCTAGCTGAAGGGGGCAGCCAAGGGGTCACAAGTGCCATTCTTCCTTACATCACTGTTTCAGCATACCTTGACGTTGTCCAAAAAACGCTGATATTAGTCAGACAGCAAAGTTTCGTGCAACTATCCAAAACTCTCAAAGTTTTATGATCCGATGAAGAGATACATCTGGCGAAAATCTCTTTTTCACAGAAATAATGAAATCGCTCAAAGTCAGAGCAACTCTGGCTTTCCAGGTTAGAGAGATCACACGTAGAAAGTACAAAGCAACCTTAAGCAATTCAAAACACTTGTTATATTTCATACAGATTTGTTACTACACTAAGGTATTAAGCACACCAGTTTAAGCCCTGTATTATGACACTCAACAGTAACAGTAAGTGATTCACTGGGGCAATGGCATAAATGGTAGGTAAACATTTCTACACCAGAATTCAAGAACCATTATGGCTAAACTAACATGATATACTGGTCTATACTTAATATCAACACAAAGTTTTCAACATCTACAGATAAAAAGCAGTGACTATTCACCTCATCACCCTCAGGCTTAAAGCTGATAGGTCTAAAATGCTACTTGGATTTGAATGATTTCTATTTTCCCATAAATCCCAGAGACTTTATCAATTACTCCTAAAAACAAACAAACAAACAAAAAAACTAACTTCTTAACTTGGGACTATAAATCTACATATCCGAACTCAGCTCTGTATAACACTCTGCAAACACACCACAAAAATTGTCACATACAATTAGTCTTACCCATACTGACTGCCTAAGAAAAGCATTTCTGTCTTGGATTTTAAGCCTAATAACACACCCAGGTCATAACAACTTTTCAGAGTATACCTAGCTTGGAAGTTTTCAAATTTACAACCTCCTAGTAAAAGGTTTTCATACAGTTCTACACCTTACTAAACTGACGTCACATCTGCAACACCATTTGTCGTCCAAGTTTTTGGTTCTCCATCCTTTCTTCACAGGCTTAGCTCCACAAATCAGAGCACTCTTAGCTGCTCAATAAACACATAATTTACATAAAGTGCAACTATGCCAAAACTATGTAAACTATGTCAAAACTATGTTAACTATGTCAGGCAGCAGTTTTAACATCTAGAAAGAACTTTCATCCCCATGAGAACATTTGGGTATTGATTCCTTGCTACTGTAAATTCATCCAACAACCTCAGATAGGTGTAGTACAATATAAACAGCCATTAAATATGCAAGAGCTTTACAAACACAGTGCCTTTAAATAATACATCCCTCCTAGCAATATGCTCATAACTTTCTATTACCATGCAACCATGTACATTCAATCATCCTGAATAGAAAATCTGTAGTTTCTACATTTGAAGAGGAAAGAAAAGGAGATGTAGCCATGTGACAATTAAAAAAAAATAACCCTAAAATGCAAATTACTATCCATTTTACAGAATGTTTTGTGTTTATCCCATGGCCATTAAGCATGAGCCGGACAGTTCAGTAAACTGTATCAGTGTAACAGGGTAGAACTACTTGACAAAGCTGAATTTAAGAATCAACTTTCTGTAAACTGACTGAATTCTGCAGGTAAGAATTTTGAGCCAACAGCTTGAAGCATAGCATTTAAGGCACTTTTATAATGACTTGACCTACATTCCGTGTTTTTTAGTTGTGACAGTTTACAACCATGCAAAGACTGGCAAATAGACATACGAAAACACAATTATGAGTATCTGCACCAAATAAGAAATAAGTTGTAATGTTATTTAAACTGCCATTTACAAATCTGCAACAGTAGATCTTCCTAAGTAAAATGAAATACTACTTAGATCAGACTAAATGACAACTTCAAAGCAACACATAAATGGTTACAAGTACAAATGAAACCCTGGTTAATGTAAATCTGCTTTTAGAAAATGAATAGAGATTAAAAAAAATAAAAAATAGCATTTCTGTAATTTGTAATAATTTTTATAATGGTAAAGAAATCTTCGAAAGATCAATTACGAATATAGAGATAAGTTTACTGTAACTGACATTAATCAATAAACCAGTGGTGCTTGCCTTACTATAAAAGTACTCTAGCCCATGTAGCTGATTAAAGATAAGTTACAGAGAAGGTGACCATCCTGCAAGACATATAGTTACCCAGCATCAGCTCAACAATTGATTACTGCACCATTTCAGTGACTCAATAGACTTAAAAATGTTGCAGGTCTTTTTCTCCTTATCAATACTGTAGGAAAAAAAAAATTAAGGAAGCTACACTAACTTAAAGAGAAAATAAAAGTATCTGAAAACCAATAAATAAAAAATACAAAAAATTAAAAGGGCTTTCTGAGATCAAGTCAACAGTAAAGAAAATTCCTTTATATGCTCATATATAGAATGAAAAAAAAAAAAAAGAAAGAGAAAGAAAAAGGAAAAGAAGAACACCAGGACACTACCTAAGTGGAAACACAAATTTTAAAACTGTAAATAGCAGAAGGAAAATACAGTACAAGGATTACTAACATTAAAAGTGCAGAATGACTCCTAGTTCCAACAGAGACATCAACTAAATCACAGGACAATACTCTTGTAAAAGTAATGAAGATTTATTTCGTTACAATACATAAAATCTGCGTTGAATCTGCACCTAGCATCTCTCAGAAAGGAATAATTCACTTACCCCACACACATTAGAAATAAAGATTCTGTCAGTCAAGAAGCACACCATTTGAAATGCCTCACCGAGGTACACAGCCCTTCTCCTCAGCCTTCTTGGAAAGTTTTGCCTGTCCACATCTAATTATCAAACTTCTGAATTATAGGGACATCAGAAACTAAGCATTAGGGGACTGGGGGAGGGAGGGCAGGGACACACACACACACAAGTACACAGTGAGAAACCTGAAACTGACTGAGAAGCAAAAAAAAAAAAAAAAAAAAAAAAAATCAAGTACATTTATTTCTCCATTTTCAAAGCACTTTTTCTTGGTCTCTGTTTTTAAAACCATTTTCTTGGTGTGAAGTTTGATGCTGTGCTTCGGGCAGTCATCAAGCAGATTGCATAAACAAGAATTACAGGAGAAAAAGGTTAACAGTGTAAGCCAACCAGAAGCAGAAATAGATCGATTCCTCTTCTTTCAGTGCATAGTTATTTGAGCTCCTAAAATAAGTTACTTTGCAAGAGATAATAAATTAGAAATAGAACTTAGATGACTTTTGAAATCTCACTTTTTAAATTAAAACAAAAACATAAACATAACAAATTAAACATAACAGATTACCATACAAGCCCACTCATAAGTGACTATTTCTTGATTACAGAGAACAATATAACAAGTTTATTTAAAAAAAAAAAAAAGAAAAGAAGTGAGTTACCTGGATAACCAATTCCTTTGGCATTTGCATAGGGAACCCCAGAAGAACCAGGGCTATACACAGGATTCATGATTTCAGTAGCTGTACAAGGAAAAAAAAAAAGAAAAAAAAGACTTATTTACTTAAGTATAGGGAAAGTTTGAAATCTCAGCACCCAAAATGTACTTGGAAATAGAGGAAAGCATATTGGGAGGAAGAAACAGAAGAAAAAGCAGCAATTGCACTGCTTATATCAGCATTAAAACTGTAGCTACAAGTAAGACAATCATTGCAGAATTAAGTTTCAAAGCATCAGGAACTCTCACTCAGCTAGGCAATCTCTCGAATTAAACATTCCCTGTTGCAGAGGATGCTTTCAAAGTATTTCCATCTCCCTTAAAGCTCCCCTGTGGCGCATAAGTCCATAACACACTGTAGGAGCTCAAACTCTCCTGGACTTCTCTGTCAGTCGTCTATTGTCCATGAGCCAGCTACCATCTCTCGATGTTGGTTTCCTCGTATTTCCCTTCCTGAGGCATCTAGCCAAGGGATACAAATACTGGTGTCTATTACTACTGGCACTCCAAGCCAGGGACTCCAATCCTTTACCAGCACTAAATTCATCCACTGTCAGCAGCCTAGGTATTAGAGAAGTGCAACAAGACCTTCTGTAACTTGACAGCTACCTCTCTCAAATTTATTTACTTTGTTTACTTGCAAAGATCTTCAGAGCACATAACAAACGTGCATCAAGCCATTGCTGAATTGTGTGTTCACACACCGAAAAGGCACCTGTCATCAGCATCACAGGCATAAAACTAAACCCACAGTTTTAAAACAGACCTTGTATGTAAAAGCCAAGGAAAGTAAAATGATGCTTAAGATGCTTCTTAAGATTTTCTAGTAAGGCTATGTACTTCTAGGAAAATAAATTACTGCATGAGAGCTCACAAGGATGCCCATCACGTGCCTCTATTAGAGTACTGTTTGCAACTACTGTTCTAAAATTTTACCAACAAAACACGTATTTTAACACAATTATCTTCAATCCTCTGATTTTCTGCAAGTGTTTACAGATTTACAATTTCTCTCCCTGTAAGTGCCGGTTTTTCACTCCAAGCATCCTCTGATGCCAAGACAGGAGCACACACTGACACCGGACTTTGAGCTGCACAGTCTCACTTGCAGAGCTGCATGCTATGAATTGTGCTGTTTAACAATTTTGTAAATAAAGTTTATGAAGCAAAACAAACTTCAGAACTACACTTTCACCTGTTTAGTTACAGACCATGCTATGGCAGGAGTCTGTGTTACGTCTATCACCGTGGCTGCCCTGATAAAGCCACATTAAGTGGCTGCATAAGCACAAGGAGCTTGCTTTCCAAAATGAGTAGCACTAAAATCAGCTCTATGGCAAGAGTTTTAGCAGTACCTAATAGACAAAGGAAAAAAATGTTCAAAATCAGGAAATCAGAAAGTAAATGCCTATGGGACATTTCTTACCGAGTTTCACAAAAAACTCAACCTCCACGTTAAGAGAATTACAACTGTTTCTCAGACTGCCCGTTAGCAACACTAAGTAACTGGAATAGAATTGCTTTCATTTTTCCAGCTTCACACCAAATTACTGTATTGATAGTATTGTATCAAAATGATACAATACATTAAAAATGAGTTAAAAACTGAACAACCTGCTGTTTACATCACTTAATACCAAGAGAGTTCCCCTGGACAGTGCATTTTGATCACTGTACCAAAATAAAAACGCAGTTTGACACAAATCCCTTTGGAAATGCTCTAGAGCAAAGCAGTCTTCAAGTGTAAAGCATTATTTTCCACTGAAGCACACAAAAGTATTAAATCTGCTGTAGCTTCACTAACAGGCATATTGTGCTGGTATAATATCACTGTAGCAAGATTGCTCTCTCCCCTCACTCCCACCCAGCCCGTTTTCTTTTGCGTATCATCCTTTCTAGATAAGGACTCTCATTTACTCTAAATTTTCCAGTCTGTTCCCTTGCTCTCCCTGTATCTGCCTCTCGTTTGCATCTTTGTTCCTCTTTCTGTGTTGAATTTGTCAGACTTTTGCCTCTGAATTTATATGGGAGGTTCAACCTTCAATCCAGTCCCAACATTTCCAAATTGGGGGATACATCTTAAGGGAAGTGGATAATGCCTTCCACTTAAAACTAAATAGACTAAATAGCACTCTCTGGCAAACCCATATCCCTACAAATATCTCCCTGCAGTCCTCAGCAATTAGAAGAGATGATCCTGTGAGTCTGCTACCATTCTGAATGACAAGATAAAGCAAGAAATACAAAGGACTGGAGAAAAAAAAAAAAAAAAAAAAAAAAAAGCAAAAGCCTTCTGTAGATATTTGGGTAATATAATGAAACAAAAAAATAAACCAACTACTAGATGTATCAGCAGTCAATGACTGCAGAGAACACAAGGACATGCATTCTTGGGGACAACTTAAAGCCATTCAGAGCTTCAGATTTGAAGACAGTGAATGGAAATGGTCAGGCGACTCATCAGACTAGGAAGTGATGATTAAGAAAAAAGGAATTCCAGCTAAGAAAGATGAAAAAAAAAAACAAACCAAACATGGCATTAGGATCCAGTAAATTTTTAATGGGGAAAAAAAAAAAAAAAAACAAAAAAACTCAAGTTCTACTTCAAATGCATCCATACCTGGAGCTTACAACTGCTCCCTCACCCATCAGCACAGCCACGCCATGGGCATACACATGCACACCCCTGCAGCTGTACATGTGTATGTGAATTTTACCACTATTGCTTTTCCTCGTCATTGTTCAGCACTGAAATACAAGTAGACACCCAGCCATGTACAAAAAGTACTCACAGGCTTCTATAATGCAGACAAAACTTCAGATCCAATTGCAATTAAAAATAATTATTTTCAGGTCTTCTCTGAAGGGCCCAACATGGGTAGGTATAATTACAGAGTATTACCCAGAGGTTGGGAACATCCCAACCGTACCGCAATTTCACTTGGAAGAACATCTGTGACATGGAAATACGGAACCTCACAGTCCACTCTTCCGTAATGCTTCAAGTCCACATCAAACGCTAGGGAAACTAGGATAAAGTGAACCCGAAGCAGTGTGGTTTCCAACTTTTTTGTTGGCATCCCCTCCAAAGCATTCTCATGTTAATGCCTATGTAAAGAAGTGTCTGCAGTGCGCTGTCTGTATATAAATTGCACGGAGTCAACTCTCTATAAATTACCCAGTCACCTAACTCTTTCAGCCGAAGTGAAGGCCCTCACGTTTATTAAAGATGCTCTGACTAAAGACTTGGAAAGCATGCTTGGGAAGTGCAAATGCTTCACCTTCCATTCTTGCCAAAGACAAACTCAGGTTTGACCAAGCCTGATAAATCTCATCTTGGGGCAGATTCCAGGACAATCACCCTCCTTTAAATCCATGTTTCAGGAAGTTGGGCACAAAGGCTGACTGCCTCTAGCGCTCCAAACTGGAGATGCTTTTGCATATCAGCTTTCCTGCTACACTCACAGTGAGTACATTTCTATGAATTTTTGCTTTTTAAAATTAGTTTATGAAAATGCATGGAAAAAAAAAACAACACAGACCAATCAACTACAATAAAACAAACTGCATGTTTTTTTCTAACGGACGTTTTCTTGCTATTTATTTTTAAAGTCGTGCAGAAAAACTGTTGAAACAAGATCTGCTGGTAGGCATTTTCTGCTCATTTTGTCATAATTCCATCACAACCGTTCAATAAGAATCTCTCAAGTAACTAGCCTAACTACTGTGCATCCATTCATGTTTTCATTCTCAGAAGTTAACCGGACTCACATTAAGACATTTCAGTATTTAACATCTGTCCATCCTTGCATACTTTTTGAATGCTGTTTGCTATGAAACTGTACAAAGGACCCAATTTCCATGTATATACAATTCCTTATTAGGCAAAAAGTGAAATACCATCGTAGCAATCTTCAATTTTACCCATTTGATTTCTAGTCAAAGCTTAAAGAAGCAAAACGCAATTCCTAAAAGTCCAGTTTTAATCTAAAAATGTCACTTCTGCTGCTGCTAAATAACAAAGAAAATAGTTCAGCACAGTCCTGCTCTTCAAAGAGCTGACAATGATAACTGACTCAGTTGCACTAATGTCTGTCAAGACTTCAGCCACTGAAGTCACAGAATCAGCAAATACCCTGAGTTGGAAGGGGCCCACCAGGACCACCTAGTCCAACTCCTGCCTGCACACAGGACCACCCAAAACCCCAACCCTGCATCTGAGAATGCAGGCCTCCCCTCGGCCTGCTCTGAACAAACCAAGGGGCCTCTGCTGCTCCTCATACGTCTTCCCCTCTAGGCCCTTCCCCTGCTTTGGAGGCTTCCTTTGGATGCTCTCTAGCAGTTTCGCGTCCTTACCCTGTGGCACCCAAAACTGCACAGGATGCTTGAGGCAAGGCTGCAGCAGGCCAAGCAGAGTGGGATATCTGCTGCATTCTCTTCCTACCAATCTGAGAAAGCTCAGACATCTGCAAAGGGCTAACTAAGCACCAGTTCAGTGACAGTGAACGAGCAGGATGAGACAGTGGCAGTACAGACTAAGGTCTTCCTTTTCCAGGCTTAGGTCCTACAGTTGACACCTCTGCACAAGTTCGCAGGTGAAGGAAAAGACAAAGCTGGGAAGATTGTTTGCAAGCATTCCTCCCCTGCTCCAGCTACGAGATCTTCTTTCCATAGGGGAGTAAGAATGACATACCTGCAACCATCCCTCTGTAACTACACTTTTTTCAAGACTAAAAAGGAATAAATTAAGACTTCAATCCTTTCTGATGAATAGCATTCTCATCTCTAAGTCTATCCTACAAGTGGTTTGGGATTTTTTTTTTTTTTTTTTATATTTAATTCTCACTTTTAAATACCGAATAACAGAATTGGAATAACCATACACTAACAACAGCACTAGTTGTGCCCAGTATCAACAAGAGCAGAGACTGTATGAATACATATTCACGACACAACATAGTTAGCTCCAAAAATCATTTCTTAATAAAACCAAAAAAACAACAAAAAACTAAACATAAAACTCAA